TATCCGAAGTATTTATGGACAGTGGACAGGCCTTGCAATATATATATTAATAGAAAAAGGAGGAACATGTGCAGTGATTGATGGAATCTGCCACCTTTACTCAAACAGTAGTATGTTTACTGAAAAAGGACATTAAAAATCTCTATGACCAGGCTAAATGGTTTTATAATCTGCATAAGATAGCATATTACCAGCCACTATATGAGATTCTGTAAAATATGTTCTTTCCATCTTAAAGGGCACTCGATTAGCAATTTGTTTTCTTCCAGTTTTGCTGATTGATAAACTTGTGTATTTCAAGATCCAACAACTTCTAAAAGTAACGATGATCATGTTGGGGCATAGCCATTGGCACTGAAAATTCTCTAGCTCATGAAATGGAGTCATTAGATGAGATGGGAAGGGATTTTCAGACCCGAGACAGGCAAAGTATGTGCCCCGATCAGGAAGAAGTAGCCATAGAAGATATAATGAGTCTAAATACTTCAGTACCCCCTTAAGAATAAGAGTCAGAAATCTCTGAGGCGCGATTATGTGGTAAAGCTTAGATACATAATTTTAAGTTCATGAGCTAGAAGCCATACCATTTTCACTTTCTGTTCTCATGTTCATCTACCTGTCAATCAGGGGACCCCTCGCCAGGAAGTACCTCCTCTTACCTGGGACGTGGGGTTAGTACTACCTAAGCACTTCTGTTTTTTTAAGTGCATAAAAATCTAGGATCTAACTCTCTCCTCCAGATGGAATCAGAACAAGCATAAGAGTGTATGATAATTCCCTTTCTTTGGCCCCATTCTCCCTAAATTAAGCCCTGATGGACCAGGGTATTTTTCTCACTTTCTAAGTAAAGTTTATCACACTGCATGCCATGTTTGGGCCTGTATTTAGAATTCTTCTCTAAGTAAAAGGCAAGAACCTAGAAAATTAATTTAGGCCCTAAACCCAGTCCATAACAAAAATAGTAGATTTCCAAATTCCTGTTTGTATATGTTCATTTAAACCAATTCCTTCTCACATAAAGTCTTTCAAATCCTAGAATTTGAAAACAGTCTAAACTCTCTATTTTCCTTCATGTATGAATTTTAATCTCATTGGTCCTAATTGATGTTTTCAACCACACAAAGTTCCTCGGCTTGCCACAATTCTGAAACTCATAGTTTGTTCAATTCCACAAATGTGTGTTTTTTTTTTTTTTTCTCATGATAGCTCTTTTATAAATTCATACTCTACCTTTCTAATCATAGTATGTTTCTAGCAGTTTCAGTCTTGGGGTCATACTATACAAATTTTCAATTTCCCTACCCAGTGGTGCATATGGCATACAATCAATAAACATAACAAAAGCTGATAGTCATGCCAATCTACAAGACTGCTATACTAACTAAAATGTCATTGTATTTTGGGTATAAATACCAGGTGCATTATGAGAAAAGTAACAAATTCTATATTAAATATTACTATGTGTCTTGAACATATATACACAATGTGGAAGACAAATTTTAAAAACAAATTTTCTTACTGCTTTTATATTTGGATATTTAATTTTTATGTGTTGATTATTTAGAATATATCACCTATACCTCTCATACTGTTTAATATAACAAATAATACAGTATTTCTCAGTTTAGGGAAAGAACTCTAGTTTGAATTTACAGTTGTTAACCTCATGTGCTATAATAAATTTATAAAAAGGTAAATTGCAATGCCTACTGAGTAATAACCACTATAAAGACCTTTGAATATTATATTTTCAACACTAAATCATTTGTTGTTATTTGCAGTTTTTGTTTTATTTTCAGGTTTTTTGGAAAAGTCAAACCATGTGAAATGTTTTAGACCCTGAGGCTGTATGTATTAAAACTTAAACTGAGTTGGTGGCATTTGCAGTAAAAGCAGTTGGTTTCAATCAAGTACATGAACAGAAAATTTAAAACACTATTTCCACAAATGCTATGAAAATTTTCTAGTATACTGTAATTAGTGACTCAAAAGATGTGTTTTTTAACTTTAGAGAATCCCTCATTCATTTGAAAAGCCTGTCTCAGGAGATTTACATGTGAACACAAAAGTACTGTGTAAAGAAAGTGAATTTCCCCTTGATTGACAGGTGTTTTAATGAATATATATATATATATATATATAATATGATTTATGAAGTGGCTTATAAATTTAGTTAACACCAGAGACTGGCTAAGGTCAAAAGAACTTATTTAGTTAATTTGGTCATTTATGAGAAATTGATGTCTTTTAAAAAATCCTCTTAGTTCAAAGACTAATAGCTAATTTTGGAAATGCTAGTGAAAATATTATTCTATTTTGTTTACATGTATTAACTTGGGTAGAACAATGTTTATTTCATACTGCAAATGTGATGAGTCAAAAACATATATATGGGCCAGCACTGTGGAGCAGTAGGTTAATCTTTTGTTTGCAGTGCTGGCATCCCATATGGGTACCGGTTCTAGTCCTGGCTGCCCCTCTTCCTATACAGATCTCTGCTATGGCCTGGTAAAGCAACAGAAGATGGCCCAAGTGCTTAGGGCCCTGCACCCACAGGGGAGACCCGGAAAAGCTCCAGGTTTCAGATAAGCCCAACTCCGGCCATTGCGACCACTTGGGGAGGAACTAGCAGATGGATGATCTTTCTCTTTCTCTCTCTTACTGTCAGTAATTCTACCTCTCAAATAAGTAAATATATATATATATGTGTGTGTGTGTGTGTGTATAAATTTAATACAATGCTTTGTACATGGTGGATTCTCAACATTTTCTGTTTTATGAATGAAATTTCTCACTGACTTATTGTCCATTTAAGTTGAAAATAGTGACATTTTCTCCTAAGGCATCAAGCAGTGAAACCAGCAGGACTGAATATTTGCTTTTTTTTCCTACAGTTAGAGTGACTTTCAATTTCCTTTTTGAAAACATGTAATTTCTTAGTCCTTCACTGACATTGGCTGTCAGCTGTACTGAAATTAATGATATTAGGAGAGAAGCAAGAAGCTTAAAAAAAAGTGTGTTTACTCTTTTTTGGGAATCACTAATAAGCAAACTAAATTTTGCAACAAAAAACTGAACTTTATCAATCAAAATGCTCAAATCAATGGTTAATAAGGTGAAAAATATAAAATTCTCTTGACTATGAAAAATCATTTTATAAATTTAAATATTTTACTAATGATAAACAGCCTTTTCTTAAAGGCAATATGAGGATTCTTTCTTACCATAACTTAAATGCATGCACTCTGACATACAAGCACATACACATACTTAAAATACATATCCAGTACTGAGATTGAATTTACAGTATTTAGCAGTTATTACAATTCTAGAGTAAATGCACATTGAACTAATGTTACTTATTATTAGTGATAGGATCAGATAAAAACTTATGAGTTGCTCCTGAGCAAAAAGAAAAGCAAATGCACATGTAAAATAAAATGATTTGTGTATCCTTAAAAATAGTAGAAATTTTAAAAATTATTTAAATTAATGAATTCAAACTGATTAATATTAATTAATGAATTAAACTGATTAATAACTGAAGATAAAGCTCAATAACTTTTTGTACACCATTTTAAAAAGTATGACAGAACACAGGATACCATGCATAATAAAAAGAAGACAAGATATACCTGGAAAAAGTAAAAGAAAATGTTTAGAAACAAAAGAAATGTATCTAAGAAACGAATACTGAAAAAGTAGTCAATATACCTAAAAAGAATTTATATACTTAAAATTCTCTAATAAAGTCAAAGTAATCTCAAAAAAATCCAGACGGACCATGTTGTTAAATAGTTCACATAAAAAATGATAAAATTGATGCTGAAAAGAATATGATAAATAGCTTCCCCAGTTTTTTTTTGCAGTTAGTTTTGCAAATATAAGAAGTGACATAATAGCAGAATGTCATGAAAATATCTAAATACGCACACACAAGGAAATCTTCATAAATTTGCATGTAGAGTTTAAAGTTTGACTGTCAAAATATTCACATCAAAATAAAAACTATATTTACCTTACTTCCCACACTAAAACAAATTCTGAGTTTTCAAACTTTGTAATGGATAAAACAGAATTCAATTTAGTAAAACTGAATTCATTAACAAATATTAAAAATAATATTGGAGTTTGTACATGCAAACCTACAAAAGGAAAATAATTTGGAAGGTAAAAAAGTAAAACACAATCTTCATTAGATTGTAAAATTAAATAGAAAATACTTGCAACATATGTAATTCACAAAGATTTGATATACATAATATATAAAAAGCTCTATAAATTGTTTTTCATGGCTACTGAAAATAATATAATGTGAGAATGCACATGATAAAAGTGTTAGAAATTAAAATATAAGTAATCAATAAAATGCAAATTGAAGTGTGTATTTTTATTATGTCATTTTGCTAATAAATTTGGAAATATTATTTGTTTCTGAGGATATGTGAAACTATTATACTCACTTTGAAGAAGCTGCAACAATTCTTTACCTAGTAATTTATATTTTCCATTCTAAAAATTCATTACTAGAGGATAAGCAAATGTGCTCATTGTAGCATCATTTAAAATGGCAAATTAAGGAAAATTAGAAATAACATGTAAGTGTACTTTCTATAATATGGTATAAATTTGAATATATAAACTAACATCAACTATTAGAAGTAAGTGCAAGGATATACAATTTGGAAAATCAAGGTCAAAGCAATATTTAGAATGGAATCTCATACAGATGTTAGGAAGCATACATTGGAAATCTTTCCAATAGTTCTTTCTGGACGGCAAAATAATTTTACTTCTGTCTTGTGTTCTTTTTTAATATTTAATTTCCTTCCCAAAGTATTATAATCATAAAGTAAAATAATGAAACCTTGCTAGTGGCATCTTCTGAGGAACATAGCAATTTGTGACTAAACAAACACACATTGAATTCTTAGTTATGTGTTCTAGAAGATGAAATGGTTTCTGTGTAGTTGATCTCTCATTTTGTTTTCTTTTACTAGGGAAAGGTGAACATGGGAAACCTTACCCCCTCACTGAAGAGGACCACGATGACTCAGCTTACAAAGAAAATGGTTTCAATATTTTCGTCAGCAACAATATTGCTCTAGAGAGATCTCTGCCAGATATTCGCCATGCTAAGTGAGTATCAGCATATTGGGTATGAAGAATGGATTTTTTATTTGTTTTTGATGATTTTTGTTTACTTTTAATGTATCATTGTTAAATAGGTAACCCAAAATTTTATCTTAATAATTTTAATAAGAACATATTTCGTAATCTTGAATGTTTGATTCAAATTAGAAAAAATCTTTAAATCTCAAAAGAATATTGACTTTCTAAAATTAAATATACTTTCCATTAATTGTATTTTCTTCATCTAAAATAAAATATTTCAAGAAAAATCTGTACCTTTTTATTTTGATCACATAAATTATGAGATGAGCATTCTCCTGTAATTATTAATGCGGCTAGAACACTCTACTTATGTTTACCCTTTTTGGACTTCATTCTCACCCCAGCTATAGTAGTGCCATTGTTGTTACTTTTCCATAAAGAATACCTAAAATGAATATATCCATAATTCAAAGGTAATTATTATTTATTCAATGTTGCGTCATTTCATGAACTGCTTGTGGTTTGTCAATTGACAACAAGTTCAGTTTTATTGAATCACAGGTAAACATTGGAATTTAGACAAAAACAAAAATCATCCTACACAAAGTTACTTGCAGTCCACCTCCTCTTCAATCATCCTCATCACCTTCCATTTATTCATCTGCATCAGTCTCTACTATGGCTCATTGTACATTTTGACCAAATTTCTTACAGTTTTCAAAATAGCATAAACAATTCCAAAAGGATGCTAAATATTGGAGTGTGATCAAATTTAAAATGTGATGTTACCATGCATATCTGACAAATCTATCCAACTGTACTAGTACATTTAACCCAAACTATCCCTCAATCTCCCTTTAAAACACTTTTGAGATGAAAAAGAAGAGAAGAAAGAGAATAAAATCATAACAATGAATGCAATAAGGATTGGGAAGCTAAATTACCCAGTAATGTAAAGTAAAAAAAAAAAAAAAACTCCTTTGTGCAAAAGTGATTAGCGCTTTAGAAAAAAAATCAGTAAATTCTATTTTGGAGGATTGTTTTCTTATTGCCATATTATGTCTTTATAAACTTATTTTAAAATATAAAAGGGGGCAGGTGCAGCGGCTCAATAGGCTAATCCTCCGCCTTGCACACCGGCACACGGGGCTCTAGTCCCGGTCGGTACGCCGGATTCTGTCCCAGTTGCCCCCTTCCAGGCTAGTGCAGTGGAGGATGGCCCAAGTCCTTGGGCCCTGCACCCCATGGGTGTGGGGAGCAACTCGGACTATACTGTAACTGGAATTAGGACTTATTCTGTGCATCTGCTCTCCCACAATATGGCGCTGGGAGAGGAGAAAACAGCTTCTACACAGCTGCCTCCAGTTCAGCCAATAAACTGTAGGACTTGCTCCTGATTGGAGAGCAGCGTGCTCGGCATGTGGGCAGCCGAGTTGGGATTGGTGGAAGAGGACTATAAAGGAGGAGAGAGACGGCATGCACCAGGAACATCTATGGGCAACATCTATCTGAAGGAACACCTGTGCAGCCCCCGAGAGAGCCGGCCGGCGGTGTGCCGCTCCCCTGCGGAAGTGGGGAATGTGGCAGGGGGAACCGCCCTTCCACGGAGGTGGAAGGGACAGTAGCCAACCCGGGAAGAACCAGCAGCAAACCCGGGGAGGGCCGAGCAGACAAAAGAACAGCGCAGGGTCCTGTGTCGTTCCTCCACGAAGAGGGGGAGCGACATAATGGTGCCGTGACTCGGATATGAAGCCTAGGCAGGGTTTAGTGTCGTTCCTCCATGAAGAGGGGGAGCGACAATGGGAGACCAGGAGAAACACCTGGCTCCTGGCTTCTGATCAGCGCGATGCGCCAGCCGCAGCAGCCATTGGAGGGTGAACCAACGGCAAAGGAAGACCTTTCTCTCTGTCTCTCTCTCTCTCACTGTCCACTCTGCCTGTCAAAAAAAATATATAAAAAGGACACTGGTTTTCTCCCCAGGTGTTATGTGAATTTACATTTACCAGTGTAGTTAAGTAGAGGACTAATTTTCATTATATATATTGTTCATTATTTTTAAAGACCCTTTTATCCTTAACACTTCTACCTTCCCTAAAAATAATTCTAAAACATTTGACGTCCATGGCTTGCACTGGTATACTTGGAATGTGCTTTTGTGACTTTGAATTTTTATGTATCTATTTCTCTCAGCATGTATGCAAACTTTCTTCACATCCATCACTATGTATTAATATTATTAAAGTTGAGATCAGCTGCATCATGATCTATTTTCTGTCCTTCTGATGGTTTTTCTGATTACCTTCCTTCTTTTCTAGTTACATTGGAGAGATGTTAAATATAATGAGATCAAATGGGCTCTTTAAAATTTAAATTACAGATACATGATTAAATTTTATGAGAAAATTTTGAGTTCATTAGAAAAAAATGTTGAATTATTCTGAGATTTAGAAAATATTATTAATTTTAACTTTTTTTAAAGATTTATTTATTTATTTGAAAGTCAGAGTTTCAGAGGCAGAGACAGAAAGAGAGGTCTCCTATCCACTGGTTAACTTCCCAAATGGCTGCAATGGCCAAAGCTGGGCAGATCCAAATCCAGGAGCCTGGAAATTCCTCCATCTCTCACGTGGTTCAGGGGCCCAAGGATTTGGGCCATCTTATACTGCTTTGCTAGGCCACAGCAGAGAGTTGGATTGGAAGTAGAGCAGTGGGGACTTGAACCGGCACCCATATGGGATGCTGGCACTGTAGGCGGTCACATCACTGGCTGCAAATATTAATTTTAATGTTGTGTTAAAAAATATGATTGAAGAGCTATGACTCTTATTGCTAGAATTGAGTCACAGAAACATTTGAGATGAACAAAAATGTGCAAAGATAATTTTTTTATTGCTCATTTTCAAGATTACATAATTTTTTTTTTTTTTTTTGACAGGCAGAGTAGACAGTGAGAGAGAGAGACAGAGAGAGAAAGGTCTTCCTTTGCCGTTGGTTCACCCTCCAATGGCCGCCGCTGCAGCCGGCGCACCGCGCTGATCCGATGGCAGGAGCCAGGAGCCAGGTGCTTTTCCTGGTCTCCCATGGGGTGCAGGGCCCAAGCACCTGGGCCATCCTCCACTGCACTCCCTGGCCATAGCAGAGAGCTGGCCTGGAAGAGGGGCAACCGGGACAGAATCCGGCGCCCCAACCGGGACTAGAACCCGGTGTGCCGGCGCCGCAAGGTGGAGGATTAGCCTATTGAGCCACGGCGCCGGCTAAGATTACATAAAAATTTGTGTGGAGCTTAGTGGTTTCCTATTGTTACCGGAGAACTGCAGGGTCCTTGTCTTTGCACAAGAAAGAATTCAGGCATGAGACAGAGAGTAAGTGGAAAGCAAACAGCAAGGTTTATTAGGGCAGTAACATTGTAAGAATGGATGGGCACCTCTCTAGACAGAACCTGAGAGAGAGTGCCCAGTTGCTCAGACTAGGGGAGAATGAGGTTACATGGTTGAGTGAAGAGAATACACCTGGCTAGGCCAGGTGGGCAGCTCAGCAGAGAGAGAGAGACTGATGGCTGAGTGCAGTCCAGTTGAGGCCGGGGTTTTTAAGGGGATGGGTCTTGCCTCCCCACCTCTGCTCCTCCTGGAACAAAGGACTTTTTGGATGTAAATACGAAAAATTCCTATGTGAGTTTTCCCCCTGAAGTTATCAGGCAGGAGGAAGCCTGGCTGGTGCCACCCCGGTTAGAGGAAGGATGAGCAAGACTCGCCTGCAGATACTGGGCTGCACCTGGAAGATTATTAGGCAGAAGGGGCGGGGACCCCCACCTGGCAGGTTATCCGGTAGAAGGGGCAGGGATGGATGCAGATACTGGGCTGCCCCTGGAAGGTTATCGGGATGACTTTGAGATGCATACGCTGCACATAGATGTCTCCTTAGGCCTTTGTCACACACACATAAGCTCATATCTGACTTCCTACCTAACACTATCATATTTATAATGATGTAAATTGATGAAGCTGATTAAATACTTGCTTTCTTTTTATTTATTTATTTATTTTTTTGACAGGCAGAGTGGACAGTGAGAGAGAGAGAC